TCTCATAAATAAATAAACTTGTAAAAAAAAAAAAAAGCCAACACACACACAACAGAGTAGAAATGCATTCTTTGTTTGGTTTCTGCAGCCACAGGAGGTTGTTACTCAGATCAACTATCAAAGAGACAGCATGTTCAAAAGAGAAAAAGAGCACAGGCTTTAGAGTTTAATCTCTTATCTTTACCTCTGACTACTATCTCTGTGACTTACTCAAGTCTCTGCTCAGGCTTACGCCAACTTTCTCATTAGAGAGAGAGAGCGAGTGAGAGAGAGAGAGTGACATCTATCTCGCCACCTTGCAGGGTTGCTAAGAGGATTAATGACATCATGTACCCAATTCGTGTGGCATACAGGAGATCCTCACAATGTTCATTTTACTCCTCTTCTGGCAAACTTTCCAAATGTGTGGGCCTACATGTCTGAAGTTCAACTCCGGCTGTCCTTTGACTTAGAATGCTCAAAGTACAGAAATTAAGGCTCCAAATTGGAGGGGAAATAAAAGAAAGAAAATGTATGACACATTCAAAAAATTTAATACTAACATTAGATAAAGTGTCAATTTTCTTTGTACCAGCAAAGGGATGTGTGGAACTAGGAGGATTATCTGGATTAATTGGAGGAAAAAAAAATTTGCTGAGAATCTTCAACTAAATGTAAAAGTAGTTTTTCTACCTTTTTTTTTCCTTGTGGGGTGGGGAGTGGTGAATATTTATTTATTTATTTATCTATTGTGATTTTCAGGTCGCTAGCTTTCAGACTCAAACTGTGGTCAGCCACGTGGGAATCCAGTGCCTTAAATAGCATTCCACCTACTGATCCCAGTTTTTCTATTTAATACAAGCTAAATTACCCCAGTGGTTCACTTCACTTTACCAGTATAAAGAAAAAGAATTCACGAAAAAGCAGGGGCTACGTTTTATGTTTATACCATCAGAAAAATAATCAAATAGACAAGAAATAAAAAAACCCTCAAAATTCAAACCCTTACTTCAAATAGTATAAACTGCCTTATGAAACACCAAATATGAGTTAAGTACCCAAGAATAAGAATACATCTTTCCCCATAATTGCTGGCCAAATTCTTCCTCACTGTGAGAGAACTTTCTGAACTCCAATATGATTTCTCAGCAGTGATAAGTAACCTAGTAATAATACTAGGTCCCCAATATGAAGAATTTTGGCAGCTAAAACAGCCAGTTAATTCTACTTAAAAGGCTGAGCAGCTCTGCCAGTGTTGTTCCCAAATGAGGTAATGTCCGTGGCTCTTATCTGACTTTTATTGAGATTTAATGTTATTTACCCCTGGCCCTCATGAACCTACAGCATATTCTTACCTTTTCTAATGTGCACTGCTTCCATCCATTTCTTTTTCCTTTGTAAAAATTTGCTGTAGGGTGCATGTGTTCATTGCAGACAAAGAGAAAGTAAGAAAGGACCCCCACAGGGTGCTCCTTACTCCATTCTCCTCCCTTTTCCTCCATTCGCCTCTTAGGACTCTGGGAATGCACACACACATGCCTGGTGTGTTTCTAAGTCACCAGGTCTGGGACTCAAATCGCACAGTCAGCCATGTGAGATGTAGTCACCCCAACCTTCATGCCACCTGGCTGGCCCTCTATTCATTTCAACACTGCAATTATAAATCTCTGTGTTTTTGTGTGTGGGTGTGTTTTTCTTTTTTTTTTTTTTAAATTAAGAAGCAAATCCTAGATGTTTTTTTTTTTTTTTCTCGTGCATGTCCTATAATTTGAGTCTTTCTTCCATGGTCCCAGAAAATTCTGAAATCAGCATATTTCTTGTTTTCAAGGTATACTATAGACATACTCTGAGGTTTTCATATATTTATGTAAACATTTTCAGAGAAGTCAAAATGTATAATTCAAGAAAATGTTCTGTGAAAGAATCTGTTTTCTGATTACAAAATGATTTCCTGCTTTTGAAAAAAATAACAATTTCATATTGACTTAGCTGGCTCTGGAGGTCCCATGGAGATTATCATTCCTTTCAATCCCTAACATCTCTTTTCCAGGTGCAGGCCTTTTACCGATTTCAAAGGTAGCATTATGTGGCGAAAGAATCTAAAAGCTGTAGAAAGAAAAGAGAAAAAGAGCCCTTTCCAACTTAACCCCTTGTGCTTTCCCCGTAAAGACCAACAGGGTGAAACAGAACGACTGCCACACAAATCGACACTTGAGGGAATGTGACAGAAAGACTTTTCTCATGCCTTTGACTTCCTTTTTTTCAACCAGCGTAAACCAACATTGATAAAGACAGAAATCTGTCTGACAAACACAAACACAACACCTAACACCCACACTACTGGCTTTTTTTTTCAACAAGTCCTTCAACTCACCAACACTAGAGAACAAGAGTAAGGCTCACGACAACCTCAGGGCATAATGGGTTTTTACCTTTCATAGGGTTTCTCATTTTATCTAGCAGGGAAAAAAAAATCTGAATGCTAAAAGCAGCCCAGATACAGAAAAACAAAGACCATATTTTGTTGCTGGGCCGACTGAGAAACAGACTCGCCTGTAGTATGTGTGGGAACCAGGCTGGGAGATTTGTATAACCAGTGGAAGAGCCCAAGAAGCTATTCCTACCTCACTGGTTCTGACGAAGCTCAGTCAGAGTGGATCTTCAGTAAAGAAAAGCTGATGCTGAGCCTCTGGACAATCTGGCCTTCCTTCTGACTCAGCTGGGGTCCACACTTGGAAGACCCGGTTCACCATCACCACTTAGGCCAGTCCCTCTCCTTCCAAGACAGTGGTGACATGCGAGAGACCCAACTTGTCTGACTGAGTTGATGATGAGCACTGGGCCTCAGAGGCCCATCTTTTCTGCAGCACAGGGGTGCAGTGAAGACCCAAGGGAGATGAGTGCTGAAAAATTTACACTCAAGAAAGCACCGAAGACCCACAATGTATACAATATAGACCAGATGACCACAAGGTACAGTCAGAGACTCTTTGGGCTCTGCACAATCTTTTCAGGTAGTCTCCAAGTTCAAAATGATGCTATGATGTGGGTTTACCCTTTCACTTCCATTCTCTCAGAGGTGCACAGTGGAGTCTGCCCAGAGGGTACAAGGTGTGAGATGACATAATCCCTCCTCACAACTAATAGAATATGCCCTTTGGAGGCTTGTATGTTAATATTTTCTCAGTTTTACTTTCTAATTGAATATTAAGGGTTTGTAAAAGGTCTTTGAGAATCCTCTATAACTTTTCAGAGTGTAAAAAGGTCCTGAGAATAATTTGAGAATTGAATAGAACTCAGTCCTGCCCAGGGACCAGCAGTTAGCATCATGGCTATGTCGCTGGACTCCCATGTAGTCGACCGTGGTTCGAGTCCTGGACCCGGTGGTTTAAACTCACGCCGGGCACGTGTGTGTGTGCGTGCCCAAGATCCTGAGAGGAGAAGGAATTGCGGTGTGGCCATCCCCCCTGGGGGGTGATTTCTCGCTTTCTGTCTCTCTGTCTCTCTTTGTCTGTCTGGCGAGTGCACGCACCCTATAGCAGAAACCTCTTAAAAAAAAAAAAAAAAGAACTCAGTCCTGCCTAAACCGCGTTCCCAGGTGGGCTGCCTTCTTGCCCCCCCGGAGCCTGTCTCTCTGCTGCTCTCTCTCCCCACATGGGAGACTCTTTCCTTTTTTTTTCTTCTGCTCTCTCGCCCCACATGGGAGTCTCTTTCCCCTCCTTCACTTGGCTAATTGCTCTCGGTCTCTGCTTAGATATCACTTTCTCCAGGATGCTCTCCCTGACTTCTCCAGACAAGCCAGGCAGCCCTGCTACGTGCTCTCTCAGAACGTAACATACCACACTGAGAACACCTATTTTCTATTCTCGTTGTTGTTCTCGGCTCCTTCAAGGAAGGACTGGCTGACATATACTATGTAGCAGGCAGTCAGTACATATTTGTTGAATACCTAAGACAACCAAGGAAGGCAGGTTGAAGATGGCTCTATTTTGCCTTCTCATATAGGGAAAATTAGTTACTAAACATATTGGTTTTCATTATTGCACAGGCTCATAAAAATGATGAGAGTAACAACAATAACAACTACCCATGTGTCTCATTATGTACCTGGCACTGTTCTAAATACTTCGTATGCATTGACTAATCTAGTCTTCACAAAGCCCCTAGGAGGTACATGCTGCTGTCACCCTCATTTCAAAAATGAAGACGCAGAGGGCTAGATCTGAGATCCGCTCATAGGCAGTTTGGCCCAAGAGTCCCATCCGGTTAACTACTCTACACACTGCCTCCCATGTCAGCAGTGTATTGGAGACTCAAGGCCATCTCTCAGTTCTATTCACAAACCAGGAACACGACCTGACTTCGGATCCCACCTTTCGCTCTGTCCCTGCATGGGTGACCACATCAGCCACGTGAACAATTCTCAGCGTCTTACCTGTCCTCATGCCTGCTTTTAAACACAGTTGTTTCAATAAGACTATTTTTCATTTATTTGTTGTACTTTAGTCTTTGCTAGAAAAATGCTAATTAAAAACAATAAATAATACTTGTATATGTATTGAAACTAAAACTACAACAACACAGAGGAAACAGGAAAGGAAGGCTTGATATTCCCTGTGGTAGGCTGCTGTGCTACAGGGCACACGCTCTGATGTGCATGGCTCTCCCTGTGACTCTGGGACTAACCTCTCTCTCAAGGAATGCTCACAGCTTCACCCTGAATAGGGAGTGGCCCAGAATGTCCCGCAGGCACACTTGAAACTATCCGGTTCAAAGAGGTAAGTCCAAATGAGAAAGTATGCTGAAGAAAACATAAAAATTTAATGCTAAAGAGAGTCTGAAAGAAGCACAATACAAAACAGTATAAAAAAAGCACACCCAGGAAAGAGCTGACCTTTCAGCTGCAGAAAAAAATTCTACAAAGTTAAAAGCCTGTGTATTAAATCTTTACCTAACAGTATATGAGAAACCAAGTAGCCTCACAGTGTTCAACAGAAGTCACACTAAGTAATCTTACTTACCTGAAGAAGTGTCCCGTGAATATGGTTTTGCCGGAAACACTGGTCAGTGTGGTTGGGAAGTGTGGCCAGCAGGGTTCGGATGGTCCTAGGAACGTGGTCTGCCATAACAAACGGGACCAAGGCACGAGCTGCCATTTCACGGGAGCGGTAGACAGGTGAGTGACCGCACCTGGGAGGAAGTAAAACACGAGACTATTCAGCACTTCTCTTCCCATCTGTGCCTTTCTACCAAGACATACTGGTGCTCTGTCTATCAGGTTGTCGGAACAGTCACGACAGATTTTTGCACAGAAAAATATATCATGACTTTCCCAACAACCTAATAGCTTGGGCTTGAATACCTAAATGGGGGCAGGAAACAGGGGAAGTAGGATGCTTGTTTCAAATGATGTTTTTAGTACCTCCCTCATTTCAAATTATGCTTTTAATATTTCTCTCATTCCAAGTGACTTTTTAAAAAAATATTTGCATTACTTCTACATGTGACTTTGAGTTTGTTAAAAACATCATTATCTATATTTTCAATCACAGGGATCAAATATAGATAGTCTTGGGAATAAGACAATAAACAGGAAGTAGCAAAAATTGGATAACTCAACGATCAAATAACTATTTACAGTAGTCACTTGTGGTCAGTTGTGGGATTAAAAAAAGGTAAAGATAATACAATAAGATACTCTAAGAGTGAGAGATCAAATTCACATAATTTTTATTTACAGTATATTGTTATAGCTATTCTAATATATTAGCTATTGTTGTTCACCTCCTACTATGCCTAATTTATAAATTAAGCTTTATTACAGATATGTACAAGCATATATAGAAACAGCATAGGCAGGGTTTAGTACTATCTGTGGCTTCAGACATCCTCTGGGGGTCTGCAGGGGTTCCCCCTGCAGATGAGGGGGGGAATTGCTGGACTGGGCAGTTACAAGGAACAAAAGCACTGTGATCAGCGCCATGTAAAATGATAGTCACCACTGTCTTTGAGGAGCCCATACTATGACTGGCTAGGCTAAAGTACGAAAGTTCGACAGGAGCAGAGCAGCAGCTCCCAGAAGGAAGATGAGACTAATGTGAAGATGGAGTCTGAGGGGGGTGCGCATAACTCTGCTGAGGAGGGGGACCTACTGGATGATGATGATAATGAAGATGGGGGGGGTTGGCCAGCTGTAGTTGATCAAGGATGATGAAAAAGAGACTGAGGAAGGAGAGGATGACTGAGACAGCGCCAACGGCGAGGATGACTCTTAAGCACATAGTGGGATTTAGAAATCATACCCATTATTTCTTTACCTAGGTGCTTATCTAAGATCAAAACTTTCCCCAGATCCTCTCCCCTAGTATCCTCAGCATATGCTCACTGTTCTCCCCCATCTTTGTCCTTCCCATGTTCATTAATTCATAGTGCCCTGCGTCTGGTCCCTTTTCACTTCTTTTTTTTTTTTTAATAGGTTTTTGCTATAAGGCGCGTGCGCTCGCCAGACAGACAGAGAGATACAGAGAGATAGAAAGCGAGAAATCACCCCCTGGGGGGATGGCCACGCTGCAATCCCTTCTCTCCATTCTCCTCTCGGGATCTTGGGCACGCATGCACATGCCCCTGGCATGAGTTTTAAGCCACCAGGTCCAGACACAAACCACGGTCGACTACGTGGGAGTCCAGCGACATAGCCATTACGCTAACTGCTGGTCCCCCATTTCACTTCTTTTGATGCTCCTAGTAGTTTTTGTTAAGTCTTACCCTGTAATTTCGCTTTTAATTTTGATACCTCGTTATGACTTAACAATAAAAAGGATGTATGATTTTATCAACTGTCTCCAAAATAATCTCTTGTTATGCAGGGAGTACAGTTCTTTTCATTTATTGATGAGTTCAGTAGTTGCTTCCCTAGCTGCAAAGGCAGTATCATTTAGTCGAGTAGCAACTGAGAGCAGCTTTGAGTTAGAAGTAAGTTTTATGCCCCACATTAGGGTGCCTGTGGGCTGTTCAACACAAATGTAACAGTGTATGTTTGTGAATGGGAGTTGGCATGTCAAATGCATCCTCTAGAAAATAGTGTAATAGCCTTAAGATTTGTTTTCTAAAGTTGATACTATGGGTTATTTTTGTGAACAGCCTGATGTTTGGGACCTTTCTCCCTCAAAATAAAGAAGTCCTTATTAAACCAGGAATTTGGAGGAAAAAAAAGAGAAAATTCATATAAAAAAGAGGATCAGAAGAAGTACAATATGGAGAAGATTATAAGCAAAGAATCTTAACATTAAGGCTACAGGAAGTCAGAGTAGGAAAGGAAGCAAACATGACTGAAGGAGGTCAAGAGAAACCAAGAAGTTGTTTCAACCAGGGACAGCAGTTGAAATAGAGAGAGAGAGAGAGAGAGAGAGAGAGAGTGAGAGAGTGAGTAAGAAATGCTCAAGATATAAAACACAAATAGAAAAGGCAGAAATGTTCCAGGTATAGGTACCTGTCTTGCTGATATGAAGGCTAGTAAGTAACAGTGAACATTGCAGCTGAGAAGAAGCCAGGCCCTGGGGGCAGGGAGTACCACAGTGGCAGACTCCGGGGTCTCAACTACTGTTAAGAAAACAAGAGATGAACGTTCAAGTACCAAATCCTTGCCTCTGTGCTGACTCACATCCAAAGAGCTAGAATCAAAGCCAGTTCTTAAATAAGTGCAAGTCACAGGCAAGTGGTATTCTGAGATTCTAAAAAGGCTCTGGAAGGCAAGCTGATCTAAGGGCCTCTAGACTTTGTCAACACTCAGAATCTGAGAGGCCACAACCACTTGGTTGAAACGGTGCACTTGAGAGCCTTCACAGACATAGGACTGATTGAGAGGAAAGTTCAATATGGAGAGTCCTGGCCTAAATAAGTTCTGGACTAGAATTCTCAAGAATTCATGATCTTTCATCAAATTAAAAAGAAAACTTACAAAAATGCCTTAGTCTCCAAGGAAGGGTAGGGGAGATCAGAGTACAGGAGAGTCTACAGGAGAAAGAAACGGCCTCTTTTTTTTTTTTGAAATTAGTTAGTGATCTAAGAAGGAATTCCTGGTAGGAGCTGGGCCACATGGACACATGGGCTTAGCACACAGAGGGACAAAGCCCTGTAACTGAGACGTTTCTAACTCCCCAGATGTACACATTTACCTTAACTTGACCAAGTACAGATACAATTTCTTTACAAATAGAATGACTTGAATCTCGTCATGGGTTGGCTGGAGGAGGTAGAGGAGAAAAGGAGAAAGAGGTCTGAGGTATGGGAAGACGCTGCCATTTTCCCCAGGCGGCGGGCCCATCAGGTAGGTCCTCTGGCACATAGATAAAGGGATGGCGATGTGATGCACCTCACATCTCACTACGGGAAGACGCGGAGGGCTGAGGTCACTAATAGTGGCTAAAGAGTTCTCAATGGTCTTCAACTAGGTTCTGAGAATTCATCCATTTTCTTATTTTTCTTTCAAAGCAATTTAAAGTTTCGTCTGCAATTGGCAAAGTAGTAAAATGTTTGCTTTGGCCATGGGAGGTTTGAAGGGGGGAGAAAACTTGGACAAAGAAAATACTCTGAAAATGCTTTGAGATTTAATTAGCAAATGACCTCACTCAGCACAGCACAGTCATTTGTCCTCAGAAGCTTCCCAGTTGGTCTGTCTGTCCCCCATCCCTCCAGCACACACACTTTGTGTTATAGTATGTTTTATGTTACCGAAAGGACTCTTGTATATAAATGTTTCTTTTCAAATACAAATAACTCTGACATGGTTACAGATGTTTAGTTTCCAATTAGCAGTAACTGTACACTAAAGAATGCCCCTCCTTTTGCTCCTGACCTTTTGCAAATGATGATTTCCCAAAGGAATCTGGCATTCATTCAGGAGAAAGAATGGAAAGTGGGGAAAGTGCCAGAAGTTTCTGCTTTCAGATACCTTGTGTTAGGGTACTTTTCAACTGCACATAACCAGGTCTAAAGGCAAACAAAACCCCCCTCTTCAAATAAACCCTTCTCTTAAAAAAAGAGAACCCAATTTCTAAAGTAATATTTGAGTAACAATCATTATAAAACAATAATTAAACAGAATTTCAAACTCCTTTCTATTGCAAATTGTTTAAAACAGTGGTCCCCAGCCTTTTAGCACTAGAGACCAGTTTTGTGGAAGACAATCTTTCCTTAGGCTGGGGCTGGGGGTGGGGATGATTCAAGTGCATTACATTTATTGTGCACTTTAGTTCTATTATTATTACATCGTACTATATAATGAAATAATTATACAACTCACCGTAAGGCAGCATTTGCAGACGCTCCCTAGCACTAACATTACCGCCTCAGCTCCACTTTAAATCTTCAGGTGCTATTTTCTCCTAAGGAGTACACCACCTTTACATGCACGGTTCACAGTAGGGTTCACGCTCCTAGGAGAATCTAATGCTCCCGCTGATCTGACAGGAGGCAGACAGGGAGCAGCTGTAAATACAGATGAAGGCCTGTTCGCTAGCCTGTTGCTCACTCCTGCTGTGCAGCCCGGTCCCATCAGGTCATGGACAAGTACTGGTCCCAGGCCCGGGGCCAATACTGGTCTGTGGCCTGGAGGTTGGGGACTCTTGGTTTAAAGGAAAGGACAGACCGTAGTCAAATCTGACTGATGGACAGCAAAAATAATTTTCCAGGACACTGTTTTATTAGCTATTGGGGGCATAGAGTCATGGGCATGAGAACATTCAGGAATGGCTAAAGGGTAAACATGAAAGACCCAGGTTTTCGTTCTACTTTGGACAGTTTTGTGACTTGGACAAGTTACATACAGTACCTCTGAGTTTTAGTCCAGCTGGAAGTGGTGGCAATCATTTAAACCCAGTGCTCTGACGTGATGTCTAAGAGAATATTCTAAGGAGAAAGACACTTGGGAAATACAAAGTCTTCATCACGTACTGCGGCTGTACCTAATATGAACAGCACCAGTATACTCTCAGAGCGATGGGCCTCTCTGTGGCCTCAAGGAGACAATTAAGGGCCCGAGGTGAACTCTGTACTGTTAAAGGGTAAGACAACAAACTCATGGTAGAAGGCAAAGAGGCTCTCTCTTTTGGCTTCCATTAAAAGTGATGAGGAAGAGCCAAATCCTTCTGACAAGAGTGAGATAACTTCTATACCTCTAAGTCTCATTTCTT